ATAAACTGGTATTTCATATACCCATTTACACTACATATAGTATATATATATATATATATATATATATATATATATATCTAGATATACTTCAAGCTAACACAATTTCACTGCACATCACTGTGAATACACTATTGTCGGTTTCAAAACAATTTGTTGATTGGACCGAGGATGGTCTTTATATTCTTCCACGATTTTGTCTATTACCCATCGTTGTATTTCATTATCATCAGTGTCAGTGTAAAATACCATTGGGTCTTGGAAATCAAGCATTAAAATCTTTCTCTTGTTGGTTTAAGTCGAACCATGTCATACATGTAGGAGCCATTTCTTTGGGGTAGCCCTATAATACAAAAAGAGGATGGTTATTTTACTTGTGGATACACACAGTGAGTAAGTTAGTAACTAACTGTAACAAACCAAGTCAGCTGACTTGACCATTTGAATGGATGTAAAATTAAGCTGAATATTTTACATGGGAGTTGTGGTGGGTTCAGTGATTATGACGTGGGCTCGCTAACATGGAGGTTTCGTGTGCAATCCCGGCGTTGGCAAAGAAATTTCATAGTCATTTTCCAGTGTGTTTCGGAACGAAAAGCACGTAGAAAAGAATACACTTGACAGTCGGAATTCGACAAAAGAGTAAAAATTTTCATTATAGCACACTGTCTGCCGTATGTACGTATTCGTGTCAATGTCCCGAGAGGTCAATGCAGCTACGGGGCCAGTTACCAAGTCAAAGTAATCACTTGCCTTCTTGTTTTGGACCGATATCTTTTCAATACATCTTCCTTCTTCACACACGACGCCATGACAGTCTCGTTGCTATGCTGGTTGCTAACACAGATGGCGCTACGAACGGACCCTAGAACCACGACTTCCAAACTATTCACAAGCGTACCTGAAAAATGTTCATGCCGATACCTCGATTCTTTTTTAGTCGTTTCTTCATGGATTTAGGCGAGCTTCCAGTCAGCTTAAAGAGTCAAAATTTCGTCGGAGTCTAAAAATTACAAATAAAACGTTTTTTTTGGCCACGGCAGCACTTGCGCTGGTCCTACAATATACAAACTTGGGTAGAAATTGTATCATAATTACACCGATTACCTCTTTACTGCGCCCTTCCACTACCATTAAAATCATCTGATTTTGGGATGATAATGGTGTTTTGTGCGAGGTATTTTTTTTTTGGGGGGGGGGGGCGGTATTAAAGAAATGAATTTCTTCCGCGAATCAGAGTATATTTATGCTACCGTGTCATACGTGATAAGTATTAGCACGAGAAACATTCTATAAACATTTCCCGAGACTTTATTCACTTCCAGTCCAGATTAACAACAACAACAAAAAACAAAACAAAGAAAAAAAAAAGCATCTGGTGACACTTACTCGGGACTTATCAGACTAACATTCGTTAGTTTTTATTCATATTGTAACGAGTCCAAAAATTAATGGATTATTTCGCAGGGACAACTGGTGTTTCATGTTCGACGGAGAAGCACGATTTTACGGAACAAACATAAACACTGACATTGTAAGTACATAAATTAAAAACCAAAATCTGTAGAAATGCCCCCTCAACCAAAATAGACTAATATTCTTAAAGATTTTCTACAATTTACATCTATTATCTTATTTTTGTACAAAAATAATTCTTCAGTTTCTACCATCAGAAATTAAGTATGGCTATTTGCTTCCTTATAAGAAACGGAGAAAGAATCAATGTTAGACAAAGGACGAATAGAGCTTTCTACTAGGGATTTTGCAGGAAATTCATCAATCCGGGCGGGGCGGATAGTAGTAATTATCCCCTAACCCTACCTAACCCACTATTATTAATCATGTCAGTTAAACAACATCTAAGTAAGTCATTTTCAGTAGAGAAAAGTTTAATATAATATACTATTCAAAAAAAGTAGGGGATATTTGATTTTGGGGGCACAATACTAAAATATGCAAATGACTACGAAAAAAGTCACTATAGAACCTAACAGAAGAAACATTTCCAGTTACATGTGACGCCCAAACGCACCAATAGCTACCGCATGGAATGCAGGTGATGCTTGGGATCATCATGGGGGTCCAACCCAAGATTTGCACGACTCTGACTTTGAATGTTACAGTCATTGTGGCATTGAATTCCAGGGTGGAAACATCAGTTTAATTGTTTTAGTGACCAGAAAACAAATTTTGATATGCGTCGGCTTACCCAAAATGAAAGGTTACGTGCCCTTGGCATGCTACGGATCGGCACAACACGGGCGGTTGTGGCGCGGACGATGAATGTTTCTCAGTCTGTCATAAGCAGGCTATGGTCCAGATACCGTAATACACAATCTGTACAGGACAGACCACGCTCAGGTCGACCAAGGGCGACAACTCAAGCCCAGGATCGATTTATCCGTACCTTGGCCTTGAGAAATCGTGTCATCACAGCAAATCAGATCAGCGCTCGTCTTCAAACAGACACTGGTGTGAGAGTGAGAGGCCAGACGATTCGGAATCGACTGCATAGGGGTCACCTTCGCGCCCGACGTCCTCGCGTGATCCCTTGTTTGAGAGATCATCACATTCAGGCAAGACGTCGTTGGTGTAGGGATCGTCAACACTGGGATAATCGACGCTGGAGCAAAGTGATGTTTTCAGATGAGTCAAGGTTCACTGTTGATTTTTTGGACAGACGTAGGAGAGTGTGGCGGCGTCGAAACGAGCGCTTCCAAGACGTTAACGTCATCAGACATGATCGATTTGGGGGTGGTTCTGTTATGGTGTGGGAAGGCATCACTGTTGCTGGAAGACCGGCTTTACATGTTGTTGCAGGGCGTGTTACAGGCCAGTACTACCGGGACAACATCTTGGCAGTCCATGTTGTGCCGTTCGCACGACGTCATGGCCGCCGTTTCATCTTCCAGGATGACAACGCAAGATGTCACAGGGCCAGGATCGTTACAGGTTACCTCCAACAACAGAACATCACCACATTACCTTGGCCAGCACTGAGTCCCGACCTCTCCCCCATCGAACATGTCTGGGACATGCTTGGACAGAGGTTACGTCAACGTCAACAACGTCCTGCCAATGTCCAAGAACTTGCTGCTGCGTTGCAACAGGAATGGGACAATCTGGACCAAAATGACCTTAGACGTCTCATTAGGAGTATGCCACGTCGGATCAATGCTTGTTTGGCAAACAGAGGAGGATTTACCCGTTACTGACTTGGTTGTGATGCTGTGGTAACTTTGCTGTTTGACCCCGGGTATCATTTTACCCTTATAATGGTCAGTCTGTGCCTTACTTAGTCTAACGATCATTTGGAATAAATCGATGAATGTGAACTTCATTTCATTTTGTCATTTGTTTCTTCGTCAGTTTCATTAGGTGACTTTAATAACACTTAAAAATCAAATATCCCCTACTTTTTTTGAATAGTATAATAGACATGATAATTGAAGAAACAAATATTACCCTAGCAAGCATTTATGGCCCAAATTCTGACACACCAGGTTTTTATGAAAAACTCTTCCACAAAATAAATGAGATCAATAATGAAAATGCAATTATATGTGGAGACTTCAACCCAAAATCAAAACAGACGGTGATTGAAAATATAGAGAAATATGACTTAATTGGTGTATTTAGAGAAATCCATCCTACTCACAAAAGATACACTTGGCGGAAAAAAATCCTGTAAAACAAGCCAGGCTTGACTACTTCCTAATCTCCCAAAACTTGATCTCAAAACTAAAAAAAATAACATAGAAATGAGTTACAGATCAGACCACTCACCAGTTGTTTTGAACTTGAATCTAACTTCAGTCGAGAAAGGCCAGGGACTATGGAAATTTAACACATCTCTCTTGAAAGACACAATATATATCAATCTTGTTAAAGAAACAATTAACAATATTAAATGCCAATACGCTATACCTGTGTACAAAATAAATGCAATACCAAACATAGACAACAAAGACATTTAATTCATATTAAATGACGAAGAATTCTTAGATATACTATTCATGGAAATTAGGTCAAAATCAATGTCATACTCAATAGCTAAACGTAAAGACCAACAAAAAATAGAAGCCAATCTCATACAAGAAATAACAACGCTAGAACAAAAGATTAGCCCGAGTCTAGAGCAGACAAACAGCCTAGAAGTAAAACAAAAAAAAACTATCCGAAATTAGAAACACGAAAATGAGAGGTAATTTGATCAGGTCCCGAGTCCAATGGGTTGAACAGGGTGAAAAACCATCAAGATATTTTTGCAAACTAGAATCGCGCAACTATCACAGCAAATTAGTAACTTACCTTGAAGATGATGATGGTAACATTATCAATGATCAGAATACTATCCTTAAGAAAACCAAACATTTCTATGAAACTCTATATGCTAAAAAAGAAAATATAGGTTGCTCAGAAACAGAATTTTTCGAGAAGGTCAAAAACTTCCAGTTTCAAAAACTATCAGATGAAGAATCAATCAAAATTGAAGGGGAGATAACCTATGACAAAGCCCTAAACTGCCTAGAAAAAATGAAAAACAATCGCAGTCCAGGCTCATCAGGTTTCCCAGCTGATTTTATGAAATTTTTCTGGAGTGATCTTGGATACTTTATCATTAGATCTATTAATTATGGTTACCACAAAGGGGAACTATCAATTGTCCAAAAACTTGGTATCATCACATGTATTCCTAAGCCAAATAAACCAAAAAAGTTTTTTTTAGAAAACTGGCGCCCTCTCACACTTTTAAATACAACATACAAAATTGCTACTGGGTGCATTGCAAACAGAATTAAATTATTCCTAAATGACATTATTAGTCACGAACAGACAGGATTTCTGAAGGGAAGATATATTGGCGAAAATACCAGACTAGTATATGACATAATCAATCATACAAACCAACAAAATATTCCAGGAATGTTAATTTTAATCGATTTTGAAAAAGCGTTTGATTCCATTTCTTGGGAATTCATCCAAAAAGCACTTACCTTATTCAATTTCAAATCTTCCATTAAACATTGGGTCAAAACTTTATACAACCTGTCTATATCAAGAGTTATACAAAATGGCTTTCTGTCAGAACCAATCACACTAGGTCGAGGATGTAGACAGGGCGATCCCCTGTCCCCGTACATATTTATCATCTGCGTCCAACTCCTCACAATCCTAGTTAAAAACACAAAAGAAATAAAAGGATTACATATTGGCGGCGAAGAATATCTCATTACGCAGTATGCGGATGATACCACTTTCATCCTTGATGGATCACAATCATCTCTTGAAAATACAATGAAAACTTTGGATCTCTTCGCTTCAGCCTCTCCTTAAAACAAAAGTAGTCTGGCTAGGCTCCAAGAAGTTCTCTCACGAAGTTTTCCATCATTCACGATGGAAGCTTGATTTGGGATCAACTACTTTTAATCTTTTAGGAATACATTTTTCAACAACAGACCATTTAGTAATTACTAGAAATTATGAAAACATATTACCTGAAATTAATAGTCTTCTCAAAACTTGGAAAACTCGCAGGTTAACTGTAATAGGAAAAATAACAGTAATTAAAACATTAATCCTACCTAAAATAACTCATCTATTAATCTCACTACCCAGCCCCTCCAAAGAATACTTGAAAAATCTCAATTCAAAATTTTATTGCTTCATCTGGGAAAATAAGCCTGACAGAATTAAACGTCTAATACTATGCCAAGACTACAAATGTAGGGGGCTAAAAATGATAAATATAGAAATCTTATATACATTAATGAAATTATCATGGATCCATAGGCTAATCCATCAGGATAACATTTGGACAAAGCTGTTTGAACAAGTCACAAATTGTACTGTGTATGATTTGATCAAATATGGTAACTACTACATAAAAGAAAAAATACAAACGATAAATAACCCCTTTTGGAAAGACACCCTACAGTGCTGGTTACAATTACAAGAAAAACAAAAACCTACCTCTATAGAAGAGTTGAACTCTACATGTATCTGGCTAAATAGTAACATCAAAGTCGATAACAAACCAATCCACTATAAAAATCATATACAAAAAAATATCCTTTTCATACAAGATCTAAAAAATAAAAAAAATGAATACATGAATTACCAGGAAACTACAGAAACATATGGGGTTAATACTAATTTCTTACAACACGAGTCACTAATCAGAGCGATAAAACAGTATGAAAAAAGTCTCAATATTGACTGGAGAGAACATACACTTGCATACAACTACTACCCTATTTTACCACACAAACTGCAGCCTTTTCTATGTTATAACAGAATGGGAAAATCAAATATTAAAGTCATAATGAACTATGCCCATATCACACCTCCATCCCAACAGAAATATTTAAATAAGGGATTTAACATTGCAAACAGTGATTGGATAAAAGTTTACCAATTACCATTTGAATGCTGTCAAGATACAAACCTTTAATGGTTTCAATACAAAATACTTCATAGAATATTAACTACTAATACTTTCCTGAAAAAGATAAAATATATTGACTCAGACCTATGTTCCTTTTGTAAACATCAATCAGAGACACTTGAACACTTATTTGTCGAATGCCAAATTGTACAAAAATTCTGGAAAACTGTGGAATCCTGGATTCTTGAAATTGTTGGAATAAATATAAAATTAGGTCAGGAAAGGATCATTTTTGGTCTTTATAAGAAAATAAGAAACTTACCCAATAACAAACAGGTAACACTTAACTGGATAATATTAACCATTAAACATATAATATATAAGTTAAAATTTCCAGGACAACTACAAACTGTAGCCATCAAAAATATCCTGAAGCAGAAGATGGAAATAATGAAATATTTATACCTGAAAAATGGAGAACATGACAAATTCGAAACTAATCTGTCTGACTGGTACCAGTTTTTATCGCCATAAATCTAAAAATAGACCAGTGACCTTGGGGCCTTTCCTCTATAGGTCGCATGTACATGACCTTTAACCTCCCATAATGTACCATTGTTTGATGTTGGGTGGCTTACTGGCTGGGGAAAAAAATAGCAGACGACGCTTGACTATACCCGCGATGATTAATGACCAAGTTGTATCTCTCTTTATATATAATATGTATGTATGTAAATGAACATTGTATGTGATTTAACTTTTTACTGTTCCGTTATGATATATTAATGTAAGTTGGTAAGCCCAGGGCTCTCCAAACCTGGTACCAACCACAAACATATTGTTGCCTGGAGAAATAAAGTTGTTAAAAAAAAAATACCTGAATGAATTAATTTGTCCCATAAATATGATCGATTGATCAAGTCAAAAGCTTTACTATAGTCGATAAAGCAGCAATACAACCGTTTTTTGTTTTTAGTGTTCCATTTATTAAGGATTGAAAGATAAATATAGCATCAGTCGTACTCAAACCTTTTCTAAAGCCAAATTGTGAATGTGGTATGAGGTTATTTATCTTGTCAAAAGCTACCAGCCTATTATTTAAAATTGTAGTGAATAGCTTCCCCATACAACTAATTAAAGTAATTCCCCTGTAGCAATCTGGGTTATTGACATTTCCGCGTTTAAATACGGGAACAATATTTCCTATACACCATGACGTTGGGTATATACCAGACTCTAGAATATTATTAAATACTATTAGCAGACATGGAATTAGTTTTGTTGAATAAAGTATAAACACCTCATTAAATATCTGGTCAAAACCGAAAGCCCCTTTCGCTTTCAAATTTTTTATAGCCTTAAAAAGTTCAACAGTATTGATTGGAAAATCTAAATCCTCATTATAGTGATGAGGGAAATAAATATCATAAGTATTTATAAATTCGTCAATTTCCTCGTAATGTTTCGAGTCATGTGACGATAATTTACAAAAATGCTCAAAAAATTCTTTTAATTCAATATTAAATCTCTTTGGGGTTTTTTTACTCAAAAGATCCTTCATATTTCCTTGATGAGTTTTGTAAATATTCTTTACTTTAATTTCATATTTTTTATAATCAAATCGACATTGTGAGAGATTTATTCGATTCGTAACTGATTTATTCCTGTTAAATGATTTTAAGGCTAATTTATATGATTTGTATTTATCTTTACAAAGATCATTGAACCATGGTTTATCTGGGCTCTTAACGCGATTTGAATTCACCTTACGTGTATAAATTGATTTCTTGTAATACGCTGAGATTATCTCATTAAGGGATTTTGAAAAGTTATCAACAGCCTGGTTAATGCCATTTTGAGTTTGCTCAGTGACATGACACATAGACAAAATATGGTTCAAGGAAGCTTCAAGGTCGTTCTGGATTTTGTCATTCATCATATCGTCCCACTGAAAATTTACACAATTTTGATCCTTCGCGTCATTTTCCTCATGATTTCTATGTATTGCTACGTTAACGTTAAATATAAGTAATGGGACAGAGATAATAAACTCGACTCAATATCAGGGTTTAATTTATCATATCTAATGAAATCAGGATTAGTCGAAGTTCTTCTATTTAAATCTCCAGTTAATACTAATACATTTTCATCAATGGAGTATTTAAGTATTAGGTCTTGGAGTTCAACAAAAGGTTCAAAATCAAGGACTGACGAATAATTAACACTATTGTGTGGGGGGATCGACACTGTAAATCTGCTGATAATATAGACTGTACCTCGTCAATTTTTTATCACTTTTACTTCGATATTTTGTAGACTTGTATCCAAGTTTGTCACTAAATTCATTATTTTATTTAGCTTTACATTTAAATCACCATCACAAGAAAGGGCCATTTGACACTTATTACAAATCACCTATCACGGTTGGCTAATCTTCACAGCTCGTCTTAAACACGTCCACTCTCTTCAATAATCATCAATCTCAGCAGCCCCAACTTAACAGATGATCAGATCTCACTCCTAAGTCAAAGATTAAAATCTGTCCCTACAAGCCGACCAGCGAACCAAGACCTACTAATTACAAAAATTGAAAGCGGATTAAGACAACTGGCTCCAGGTGATAGGATTGATTTCCTGCGATATCAAATCACCGATCTGATAACTAAATCTAAGAAGCGACCAGGTACCCACAACCTTAGCAAGTCCGGAAACACTGCCCTACAGGAACTGAAGAGAGATTCTAACATCAATATAGTAGCTGCTGACAAGGGGAAATCTAATGTTATAATGGATAAGACCGACTACCTCAACACTGTGTCCAATCTACTAACAGAACTACCTACAGGAAGACCAGGAAAGACCCCCGCTAACAACTATACTGAAAAATACACAACCCAGCTATTGGCCCTGAAAGAAAATAATCGACTTACCAAGCCTTTATTCTATAAACTCAAGCTGTCTCATCCCAGAGTCCTACATGTCAGAGCCTCGATTAATAATCCACAAGACCGCCATTAAAGCCAGACTTCTAGTATGGTCCAGGGACTCTGTATTTTACAGTGCAGCTCAACACCTGTCAAAATAATTCTCCACATTCATCAAAGATACCCAAGATTTCTGCCATAAACTACAAGACCAACCTAAAGATATACAGATCCTCTCATCGACCTTTTTAGAAATATCTCTCGTGATGAAGCCATAGAAGCACTACGCCACAGATTAACGTCATTGGAGAATCCACTAGACACCAAAATCGTCACGGAAGACATTATCAATCTCACCAGATCATGTATCAATTCCACCTACATTTTATGAACAGTTACATGGATTACCAATGGGAAGCCCTTATCCCCAGTCCTCAGCGAGATCTATATGTCTAGTTTCGAAAAGAAAGCCCTATCCACATCACCAGTTCAACCTAAAGCATGGTTCCGTAAGGCTGACGACATTTCGTCATCCTCAATCAGAATGACGACCCAAACCTCCTTCTCAATCACCTCAACAGCCATAACCCAAACCTCCTTCTCCATCACCTGAACAACAGAATCAAATTCACATTAGAAAAAGAACAGAACCAATGTCTCCCTTTCCTAGACGTCTTAGTAAAGAGGTCTGCAGACAAACTGAATACAAGCGTATATAGAAAGCCCACACATTCTGATCAGTATATAAATTTTAAGTGGAACCATCCACATATTGTGAAGAAAGCCGTCATAGTCACTATAGCGGGCCGAGCCGTCAACATCTGCGATGATCAATCCATTACAACAGAAGTTGACCATATAGAAACAACTCGCACTAATTTCAACAACTACCCCCTTCAATTAGTCAAGAAAATTATTAAGACACTAAGCCGTCTACAGATGTTAGAAAACCAAAAACAGATACGAAATGGAATGAAATGGGGTTTAACGTCCTAATGTTTTGCTCCTAAACTGGGCTAATGAAGACGGGCATACGCCATACAGTGTGCTATGAGGAGAATTTTGCCTGGGCAGCGGCGCTACGACCTACTCTTATATGGAATTCCAACTGCCACTCTTATATGGAATTCCAACTGCCAAGGGATCTTTTACGTGCACGCCACTGTGTACACGGGACCTCGGTTTTTCGTGCCATCCGAACGACTAGACAGCCGCCATTGTCAGGCCCTCCGTCCTGCATCATTGACAAGGGGAAACTACGCCAGAAAATCTGGAAGAACTTTCTCGGCCAATGCAGGGAACGAACACCCGACGTCCAGACTAGCGAGCCAGCGTCTTACCCACTTAGCCATCGTGGTCCCCCAAAACTAGCAGTGAGAATTACTATACCATTCCAAGGGAAACTATCATACCATCTCCGAAGACTCCTCACTGTAACAGGCATCCAGGTCACGTTTACAAAAGGAAGAACCCTTAAAGACATACTCAAAGCCAATGGTAAACTCCCCCCTACCAAAAAACGACTCCCAAAGAATGTGTTTATGAAGTCGTATGAACATTGACAAGAAATATATTGGAGAAACTAGGCAGCCCCTTGACAAAGAATCAGCCAGCACAAATCAAAGTCCTCTACCACCAACTCGGCCGTGACCCAACATCTACAATCCAACCAAGGACACAGAATAAAATCGTATACAACCCTGGCAGCCAACCTTACTGTAGAAAAGACCAGAAAACTGATCGAGGCAAAAGAAACATTTCAGACCTGAACCGCGACA